AAAGAAAATTTAATTAAGTATATACTTGTATTCAATTAATTTTATAAAATAATTGCCATATTAAATTTGATATTCAAGGATTTTCATAAAGCATTTGAAACATAAAATTATAGACGTATGTACATACTTGATCTGCACCTTGCTTTTAAATGAAATTTTACTCTTATATAAACTTGTACACATACTTTTACATATATTTTTAAACAGCTATAATATTTCTTGAGTCTCTTAGCATTAAAATTCGCATATATCGTATATATATATACATATATATACAAATATATACATACAAAGGTGACATATTGTAATGAGCTCCGCGAATAGCATCAAATTTCTTTTCTATCTAAATGGCATTCAAAAGTATCTTATTCGAAAATAGGAGAAATAAAATAAAATTTATATTCTTAATAAATTCATAAAGGGCGCAAAAAGAAAAGGAAAAAGGTTATATACAAAATGTGCGCAAAATTACAAATTTATTCTATCTATTTTTTTCTTATATTATGTGGTGTATATTGTACAGCAGTTGTTATAATTTTATACACATATATACATGTATACATACATATACTATATATCAATATTTTGTATATATAAGGATATTATATAAAATGTAGATTTTCTACTGCTTTTTCATAAAGGTTCAAAGAGATATAGAAAAAATCTTAGAATGACCTTCAAAATTTCTGTTAAAAATATGTTTACCATGAAGGTATACACACCACATTGTATATACTGGTTATGTATATATGTATGTACGAATAAGTTTAAGTAGGTACTTAGAAAATTTAAGAGCTTTATTTTTAAGAGCAAATATACTCAAGAGCTACAATTCAAAAATAGATTTTGTTTTTTTTTTTTTTTTTTAAATTAAGGTAAAGTAATTGAAATTTTTTATTATTTTATTCTTAAAAAAAAAATATAGAAGAATGGTAAATAAATTATTCCGTATTTTTTATTCCTATTTACTTGCATAAATAAAATATTTGAATTTATCAAGCTTAATATGCATATACACATTTACACATTTGATGCGATATAACCACACATATGTATATGTGTAAAATGTGTTTGTTTCTAACAAATATTTTTTAAATAGCTATCAATTTGCATAAATACACTATTCTAATTGCCTGTTTAGAACAAAACTACCCTAAGTCTATTTTACGCAAAAAGAAATTTTTTTATCCTATGTCAGTTGAGCTTTGAATACGAGAGTGTTTACACCTCGTTGATGCACTGCAAGTTAAGATTTGTTAAGATGTTGGATTTGTTAAGATGAAACTTCAGAGGATTTATTTGAGCAAGTTTCTTTTAAATTTTGCTATTATTTTTATAGAAAAATTCTGAAATAGAAATAAACTTTAAAAAAAATATATGAACAAACCATAGAACTTGTATAACTATAAAAACTTTTTATTATGCTATCGTCAAATTTATAATTTTTGCCGCTAGGTTTTTTCGATTTTCTTAAGTTATTTAAATTCTAAATTAGAAATACGAAAGCATATTGCATTATCAAATAAAAAAACCCCATTCTTTACATAAGAATTAAATGAAAAATAGTCTTTTGGTACAAGATTAGATTGCGCTAAGCTCGAAATATTTTTCGCTGAAATTCAGTTTATATAGCATTAAAATAACGCCATTATTCGCGCATAATTACAGATTAATTTGAGAAAATTTCTTTCGTTTTTGTTTATAAAAATTTTTCAAATTGTAAATTCATTAATTTTTCGTATTCAATACGGAAAAATCAAACTTTATTTTCCATTTTCCGCCAAAAAATAATTTTTTTGCATTAATTTTTTTTTTCTTTTATAATTAACGTAAGTGCCAAACGACTTATTTCAGCGAAAAATTAGCAGCATAAAAAAATTATTCATTTTTTTTTTGCTTATTAAGATATTCAAAATTATTGCAAAAATGTATATACATACAAACATATAAATTTTATTGTAGGTAGTAAAAATAATTTAAAAATATTGCTCAAATTAATTTGTAAGAAAAAAAAAAGTATTTTTAATAAAAAAAAAAAACAAAATGAAAACAAATAAGAAAAAAAATTCTATTCATGAATGAAAACAGCTGATTATTACCTACAAAATAACGGAAAAATATATTACCAAATCAGCTGATTTAATTTGAATCGGTTCATTTTTTGCGAATATTAAAAATTCTTGCGATTGAAAATTTTCCCATGGATTATTCGAATGAAATGAAATTTTTATTTTATAATTGCAATAAAAACTATTTTTTATTATCAAATAAATTTCTTCACTTCACAAAATACATATGTACATACATAAATATATTAATTTTTTTTTTAGTTTTATTGATGTTTCTTAACGTCATGTTTGTATAAAGATGTTATCAAATTTATTTTTGTATTTTTTAATTATGTATGTAGATGATATACGGTTGATAGAAGGTCTTAAAAGTTCATCGAACTTAAGGGTATATTTTAATTGCTAAAATATTTTATTAAACATTTTGTTTTTTTTTTTTATTTTTTTATAAGATAATAAAATTAATTAGGTTAACAAGACAAGAAATTTTATTAAGTTTTTGTTTCGCCATTGAAATTTTTTTTTATTTTTTTTTTTTTTAATTATAAAATTTATGGTAATTCGATTTTAGTAAGTAAATTTTTGGCCTATTTTCAAATAAATTTTATATATGAGGCGCGCTCAATACATTAGTGGTACTACTTGCTAGTGCTTAAAATATTAAAATATTTAATTTTGAAGAAAATTTTTGAAAAGGCAAAAAAGAACTTACATATGTCAAAATAGAGTGAAGATAAGTTGAATATTTTGAAAATATAGAAAAATTTAGGCCATTATAGCTCTATTGAATATAAGAACTCATTTTTGTAAAAATGTTGGATACGTCATTAATGCAATGAGCACCTCATATTTAAATATATCGATATAAATAATAATAATAATAATAATAAAAAATCGAATAGAAAATCGAATTACACGATATAAATTTTAATAATGAAAATTTACAAAACAAAGTTTATAAGTTATTTCAAGTAGTGTAAGGTGTCATTGCATCCACTATTCCCTATATTTAAAATAACTCCAATTAAATAATTTAAAAAAAAAAAAATAATAAACCCCTATATGACATCGGAATTGTAATAATAATCGACATGGCAGATATATAATTCAGTAATTGACATTTGTAAATTGATATCAGCATTATTAACAATATTAAATTACAATTTCGATTCTTAGGGTATTCAAAAAAATCGAATAAAATTTACAAGAGCGTATTATTAAATCGAATTATTAATAAAACTAAATAAATATATTAATAAAATAAAAATGTAAACACATTAATTGTAATGAATTATTTTTTTGTATCGTAGAAAATCAAAAATTTGGCATTTTATTGATATAGCCAATTTGGCAAATTATCGAATTGAATATTAATGAAAAAAAACACCTGTTGTATTATTCCAAATTTATAAATGACGTATCGTAAATTCATGACGTATCGTAAATTCGTGACGTTTCTGCAAAAATTATTCAAAATAAATAAAAAAACAATTTTACATATTTTTCTTTTTTTAATTTTATGAAAATTATTAAATTTATTTTTTTTTTTTCAAAATATTTTTTTTTTTGTTTTTTTTTCTCTCATTTTTACTTTAACAATATTTTTAACATTCAATTATTTATATTTATTTTTTTTATATTATTATTATTTTATGTGAATTTTTTCTTTATTTTATAATTTCTTAAAAATACTGTCAAAAATATACAAATTTTTTATTATATAATATGTAGTTCAAATATCCTTGTTTTTTTTTTCTTGTTTTATTTAAAAAAATAATAATAAAAATATTTTAGAAACTATTGTTTTCATATGCTTTTGTGTTTTTGTTTTCTTTAATAATATACGTATACAAAATGTTTAATAAAAAAAAATGTTTAATATTACAAAAAAAAAAAAAACTAAAGAATTAACAAAACAAAATAATGAAATTTTGTGCAAAATAGCTAACAACTTTTTTTTTATTTTCTACAATAAAATACGAAATATTTGAAAATAAAATTAAAATAAAAAAAAAATTTATTAAATTGAAAATTAAAAAATTAGAAGCAAAATCTCTTCCTAAATTTAAACTTAAATTTAAAATTGGTTTTTTTGTGTTGTTTGTTTTTGTTTTTAAATCGTTTATAGTCTATTAAATATTATTTTATAATTTTTTTATTTAATTAAAAAAAAAAGAAAAGAAATCATTTTTTTTCTAAAAAAAAATCTTATATACTTATTTTAATTTTTACAATTCTTGAATTTTTGACACATACAATGTAAATTCCAATAGATTAATTATTTAAAATTTTATTTTTTTCATATATAAATGGTTTCTATTTTTTACGATATACGCATTACGATATTTATGAATTCTTTTAAAACACATTTATTAAACAATTAATATTTAATAATATATTAATAAAATATACAATCTAATGGAATAATTTATATATATGTAATTTGCACATTTATTAAAAAAATTATTTTTCTTTTCGATTAATATTTAATTTTCAAGAGTGTTAAATTAATTACAGGTAAATAGTTGGTATATGTGCATTTATTTAGAAAAATAATTTTATTTTTCTTATATATAAGTATACAACATTATTATTTTTCTATATGATATAATTAATTAATATGTTTAAGTTTTAATAAAATGATCACATGGAAAAATTTCAATATGACAAATTATATAAAAATTTTGTTTTTTGAATATTAAATTAATTAAAGTTTGTATGTATATGTTTGTGTACTTAAAATGACAAATTCTTGGATAACATTGATAATATCTTGGAAACATTATGCGAATATATAAAATGCATATATATATATATATATATAAATATATGTAAATATATTTGGATATATACATATGTGCATTACTATATAAATTGAGTTTTATAGTACATTTATATAAGTATATAATAATTTTCTTTTGCTTAAAAATATTTTTGTTTTTTTGTTTTGTTTTTTCAATTTATTCAACTAAACAAGTTCTTACTAATGCGTTACAAACGCTATATGGATCACAGTTTGAGCTTGGACGTCTATCTTCTAAATAACCTTTACCAGCATCAGCAACACCTCTTGGTATACGTACACTAACAGCACGATTTGCAATACCCCATGAAAATTTATCAATACTTGATGTTTCCAATTTACCAACTAATCTTCTAATATTATCTTTACCCTGATGTGGATCATATGCTTTAATATGTTCTTCTTGTCTATGTGATAATTTTTCGATAGCTGCTTCAATTGCTTTAATACCACCATCATTACGCATTGATTTTGTTGAGAAATTTGTATGTGCACCAGCACCATTCCATTGTCCTTCCATTGGTTTTGGATCAAATGTAACAACAACACCAAATTCTTCAGCAATACGATGTAATATATATCTTGATACCCATAAATCATCAGCTGCTTTCATACCTAATGATGGACCAACTTGATATTCCCATTGTGATGGCATTACTTCAGCATTTGTACCAGCAAAATCAATACCAGCATATAAACATGCAATTGCATGTGCTTCAACTAAATCTCTACAATAAACACGATTTGCACCAACACCACAATAATATGGTCCTTGTGGCCCAGGAAAACCATTTGATGGCCAACCAAATGGACGACCATCAACATCAAGTAATGTATATTCTTGTTCAATACCAAACCATGGTTCATGTTCTTTTAATACTTTTTCCATAGCATCTGCTAATGCTTTACGATGATTTGATGGTGTTGGTTTACCATCTGGTTGATATGTATCACACATAACAATAACATCATTTTGACCAGGTTTAAATGGATCTCTATATATTGCTCTCGGTATTAGAGTACAATCAGAATTTTCACCAATTGCTTGATATGTTGAACTACCATCATATTGCCATTTTGGTAAATCTTCTGGTGATTTTGGTACTTTATTTACAATTCTATCCTTTAAACGTAAATGTTCACCAGTACCATCAATCCAAAGATATGTTGCTTGAACTTTATCTTTTGGTGTTGAAAGTTTTTTATAACGATTCAAAATACTTTTATCGAGTACAGCATTCGGGGAATCATCTAAAAATGTTTTATTTAATAATGGAGCTGTACTGCTAATATGACGAGCATTTTTAACAGAACGAATTCCAGATGAAATTTCTTTGCTTAAAATTAATCCAGCGCACCTTAAAGCCATTTTTTGTTTTATTCTTGTTTTTTTTTTTATAACACTTTTATATTAATAAGTAATTTATGAAATTAATCTTTTTTTTTTGTATTTAAATATTAAAAGCAAATTGAACTCAAAAATTATTTAATTTTTTTAATATGAATGACTTCTGTATCAAAATATTTTGAAAATTTATTTTTTTGAAATTTTATTTTTTTGTTTTTGTATATTCGAAAATGTTTTTTGGCACACAAATTTTTTTTTTTCAAGTAAGTATGTATAATAAAAAAAAAGTATTCTTATTTTAAATGCTCTGTAAGAATATCGAAAAATTTTCCAAAGAATCAAAAATTTCTTTAAAAATTTTAAGTAATTCAAAATAAAATTAATTTTCGTATATAAATTTGTTTAAAATTTATTTTTTATTTTTTGTGTTTTTTTTTTTTCAATCAAATTTGACCGAATTCGATTTGATTTCCATATTATTCGCGTACGAATTATAAACTGTTAATGAAGCTCTGAGTAAATTGTACTCTCAATATAAAGACAATTTTTTTGAGTGAAAATCTTTTTAAATTTAACTCAAGATAAGATTATTATGGCACAAATATACTTATATACATGTATATGTGTATTTACAATATGAAAAATAAAAACTGTTATACAATTTTAGAGAGAATGAGAAAATGGGAAACAAAGAAAAGAAAAATTATTGTAAATATTTTTTTTTTTTCATCTTTGAATAAAATGAAAAGGAGAGTGAAATTTTGAAATAAAATGCAAAAAGAAAGGAATAAAATAAGATTTTTCAGAGGCAGGCATTGTTCTCATAAAGCTGTTGTAAAGATAAAAATTATACACTGCGGTCTGGTATACATATAAATTATTATTATGTTTCTGTTATAAAAAAACGGAGTGCGTTATACGATAGGCATTATTTATTTGAGTTTTCGATGAAATTTCCTGATTTAAAAGAAAAAAACTGATATGGAAAATAAATTTTATTACTGTGATAGAAAGAAATTAAGAAGTTGGGTAAGCAAAAAATTTTGTAAAAATTCGATTTTTATTACACTATGACTTATTTTAAATAAATTTGGATGAATTAAATAAACATCAAGTTACCAACACAACTAAACTTACCAAAAATTTAACAATTTTCCTTTTTGTAAATTTAAAATAATTAGAAGATATGTTGAAAATATGTTTGAAATAACCTCGACGTATCTAAAATTCAGTGAATAAAGTATTTATAACGAAGTAAAACTTTAAAAACCACTGCATTGTAAAAACAAATGTTAAGTAGTTTAAGTATTTTAGATCATTTTATCACTTTATCACGAATTTTGTCACCAAGTATTTCAAAAACATATTAATACGTTAAATCTGGCACAAAAGTGCTAAACAAATTTTTTAATTCGATAATCTTGGCAATACTGTTTTGTCATGCAGTAAAAAAATAGTGTTGATTTTTTCACTTTGCCACTTTCTTTCTTATTGCGTAGTTGAAACTTACTCTTATCAATTCGGATCTTACTACATTCTATAAATTTTTTGTCCTACAACATGGGTCACAGATACATTGTAGCAAGTCTTACATTAATACTGCATTTTGGATAGCAGAGTAATTTAAATTTTTGTAATTTTTTTCTCAACAAAATTGATTTACATTAATTAGGTTGTATTATGATTGTAATTGTAGAATTTCAAGTGTTTAATTATTTTAACAAATTTAATTCTGAACCATATTAAAAGTACATTTTACAAAATTTGTCATATTTGACACATTAAAATATTTTGTGCGTATATGTATGTATTTTATGTAAATGTCAACGTAAATCGTCTAACTGTTTTCAATTGTATATTTGAACACATTTTGTACGATTGTAGAGTGTAGTAGTACAACGCTGAAGTGAAAAATACCAAGTTACTGACAACTTATTAAATAAATTTATTTAACCCGTTAATTCCGCTAACCATTTGCAAACATAAATAATACAATCATTAATTAAATATATTGTATAAATTAATATAGAACATAACCGTAAATGTATGTACTAATATAACGTAAATATTTAAGTATAACGTTTATACTATTAGAGTTCACCATAACTATTATACTTAATAAAATTTTTAATTTTTATAGTAATTAACAAAATGGACCTTGAACTTTTAATATTTTTTTTTTGTTAAATCTTTGTACATTTTCATGAAATGAAAAGTTCATTTGCATTTAAAAATTAAGTGAATGTTCTCTTCATATTTTTTTGTATAATATACGAGTATATACGCATAAAATATAAAATTCAACTTCCGAATACGTTAAATATGCATATGTAAATATGTATGTATGTATTTATGTATGTAATTTTATCTTCCTTATTTATTTCACTTCGGTAAAATATAAACAAAATATGAGTTTATCCAAAATTAAAATTTTTATTTAATAAAATGTTTAAAATTCTTAATTCTTTCAGACAATGAACTGCTGCATATTACTATGAATTTTTTCTAAAAAGAATAAGAAATTTAATTATATATACATACATAGGTGTTTATTATGAATATATACATATAAATTTTATCTATAATAAAATATATCTACATATTATGTGTATATATACGGATACGGTGTAAATAACTCCCTGCTGATGCTGAAAAAATTATTTACATTATTAAAGTATATTCTAATTTACGATAAAATTTTTTTATATTATTTTTACGTTATTGTACTCTTTTGTTTTTTTTGAAGCATAATAAATATATGTATATGTATATAATAATAGTCACACATACAAAATAATAAAATCAGCTGCTAAAATTAATTGTATTTTCCTAAGATTTTTTTTAAAAACTTTTCTATTTTTATAATAATACAAATATAACATTTATTTATAGCTCTACTCCATTAAGTTTTAAAGTTTTATTCATACATATGTATATTTTACATACATGCATATCATATTATGTATTTCAATTTTCACTCGTAGTAAGATTGTAATTATAATTGGCTATCTCACTCAACAAATTACAGCTCACTTTTGAAATGAGAATAAAATTAAATTGAAAAATGGCATACATATGTGTACATCCACGTAGAATATATACATACACATGTACTTTGTAATACTTTACATTTTGATATAAATATTTTACCTGTATAGACTGTCGTAGATGAATGAACTTAATAATGTGATAAAATAAGATGTATACTTTCAAAAAATAAAATTTCTCCGAGCTAAAAACTGAAAACTTCAGAATTCAATCTCTATGAGTTTTAATGGCTGAATAGTGTAGCAAAACAATTGTACTACAGTTTTATAGTCGAAGTCATAATGTAGATTTTTGCTCTGGATTTGTTATACTTAAACAGTTATGTTAGTTACTTAAAAATAATAAACAATATTACTATAATAGAGTAGTAAAACTACACATACACTACATTACTAAAGAATTCAGCAATTGCAGCTTGTAAGCTGAACTGTCTATTAAATATCAAGACTACGTTATTTTTATTAAATAATTGTAATCACGTAATTTTCATTCTCAGTCCTCTCAAACACCTTTTTAAAAATTTTTAAAACTTACTTTGTTATGTGTTACTTAATTATTTAATTCCTCACTCCTTTCAATAATGTTTGTTTCTCATATTTGAAATTCTCAAGTCAAAACAAACCACGAAACGAAAAATTTATGAGTATTACATTATAATAACGACCTTTCAAAAATTATGCTTAGTCTCTTAGCGTCCATTAATATTTTGCATTCATTAACTTTTTTTTTTTTTGCTATAGAATATTTATAACAGAATTATAATCTGTTATATGAAATGAAACGTAAAAACCCATCAAAGAGATTAATATTTTACGTGCTAAATTACAATATTTTATATAACAAATGTGTACGTAAAATAAATGTACATATACCTAAAATTCTAACAAATAAAATTTTACTGCAAAATACTTCTCTATATAATATAATCACAAGAAGACTCGAGTTATACACTCCTATAATAAATGAGAGCAAGAAAAAACAGCATCAGTCAGTGAGTAAGAATTCGAAAAAATTATCTATACCCATTTTTTGTCCTTGGTTTTCCCTACGAATAACCAAAACTGATCAAAAAGAAAAATCTCTACAAGTACGCCGTACATATTAGTATAACATTAACATGGTTAACCATTTCTATATTAACAGTTATATGAGCAGAGAAAAATATTGTAAACAAACAAAACATACTAATTCTTTAAGGATTTCCTCAACTGAAAACAAAACGAAAATAAAAAATATCAAAAGCAAAAAAAATACTTTGAACGTGTATCATGCATGAAGCACGTGAATGTCCTATTTAAAATTTTTCCTAGCAATTCTCTCTATACTTATTTTTGCTTTTGTTTTTTTTTTTCTTTTATTTTTGTGTGCATACAAAAAGTCTGAGGTTTTTCTTTTTTACATTTTACATAAGAAGGTGTAATGTACCTAAAATTTATAATAATGCTAATAAGAGAAACAAAAAAAAAAAAAAGAAAATAACTTGAACGAAACTGTTATACAAATATTTTTACTCAACAATATTATTATACTACTCACGAAATTACGGTACAAAGAAAATTTGAGTAAAAATTTGTGCTTAATAGAAGAGAAAACGGACATTTTCTAACTACAATTTTATATATTAAAATTTAATTTTTGTATATCAAATATGACATTTTGTTTTTGTCATAAGGTAATTTCAATGGTTGGCATTGCCTTAGAAAGGATGCGCCGCATTTATAAGCTTCCTTTTTTTAAGGCTAATAATTTTAAAAATTTTCATTTAAGGCTTCGGAATAATTGCAATTATTTTGACTTGTTAAAGAGAAAACAGAAAAGTATAAATTTATATTATAAATTTAAATTTTGAATGAAAATTAAAAGTGCTTTTTAAAAATGGCTGACCAATGGTTTTTGTCTTTACTATGATAGCTTTTTACAAACTTAATGCTCACTTTCTTTAATTTCTTTTATATTTACAATAATCTTATTGTGAATGTTGTTAGAAGTATAATTGTATTTAAGACTCATTTTTCTGCATCTAAATTAAAAATATAACAATTTAATAATAAAAATATAAAAATTTAATTATTATATTCAAAAATATGTAGAATTAAATCGTTCTAAACTCGTTTTCGTCTTATAATTAAATGTAAAAATATAACAGATTCATGCGGAATATCAACAAAGTTTTTCAAAAAAAGGAAATTTTCTAGATGAGTTTTATAATTGTGAATTAACTAAAATTTCACATTTCTATTGTTTCTGAATTGATTTGAAAATTATTTGTATTTTTTAACTATTATAATTTTAATAAAAATCTTAATTATTATAGAAAATTTAAAAAATTTTAATAAAATAATTTCTACAAAATTAATAGGAAACAATAAAATGTTATTTTAGTCATTTGCAATAATGAAAACACAAAACAACTTTAATCAGCATAACATTAAAAGCAATTTTAATCTCACATTTTTAATGAAGATTTGATAATAATTTGTGATAAACGAAAATCAAATTAATTTAAAATCGGATTTATTACAAAAATTTTTTTTGTTAAAGTGATATACTAATGTGATAATGAAAAGTGATATATTAATGTGATAGTGAAAATCAACACTATCAAAGCTATTAAAAATTTAGAAACTATATCTAATTCACTGTGGCACTAGCAAGTTGTTTTAACTATAACACATTTCAGCACAATTAAAAAAAATAAAAATAATAATTCCTGTAATGTAAATTTTATTTCTTTAACTCTCCAAAAATATTATGTAATGTATATGTCGTAATTATTTTGAAATATAAGTGTACAAGGCAAAAATAAAATATTTCGAAAAAGAATATTTTAACACCCAACACGCCATATTTTTTTGTCTTTTATTATTAATCAAAATCACTTATTGGTACACCAAATGAAATTTCCTCTTGTTTCATATCCGCAAATTGATTAATACCCAATGCATATGATATTTCACCAGCATCATATTTAATATTATGATCTATAATTTTCTTTTTAGTTTCTTCATATATTTTACGTCTGGCAATATCTTCTTCATCATCATATTTCTTATTATATTCTTTTTTATAATTTTCCCATTCATCATTAGTAACGTGTTGTGCTTCCTCTGCTTTTATTAGAATCACAGTTAAATTTAATAAACACAGGAAAATTAAAATTTTACAAAATTTCGATTTAAACATTTTAAATATAGAAAATAAATATTTTTTTCTTTACTTATTCTTGTTTAAAATTACAATGAATCAATTAATTTATTTTCATTTACTTTTATTTAATCGAAATTGTGTACAATCACATGTAAATACACTAATATAATCATGTAGATATAAAATGTTTTACTAATTATTGATATTGAACTAAAATGATTGAACATTAAACAGGTAGTTGTTGTTTTTGGAACGCGCTTCTATTATTTTAATTTAAGAAATTTTTATAATTTCAGATCTGATAAGATTGAAATCTTTAAATTTAAAAATATGAATTAATTGTAATTGAACTATATTTAACTATACGAATATCTATATACTAACATAAATAATGATTTTGGTTGTCTAATATTATCAATTTTGGAAAAAAAAACAAAAGTTGTTTACAATAAAAGCAATTTCTTGCTTAAATTAATTATTAATAATGTAAAAAATAGTAGTTTGTTTGTTGTAAATTAATGCGTAAATAAAATTTATTGTATTACGCCTATTATTAAATTGTAAGATGATGTTATTTTATTTTACATTAAATATAAGATAAAAAAAGAACTTCATAATTACATTGATTCCAAAATTCATTTTTACAAAAACATGTTTAATTTTAAATGACTTCAATTAGAAAATAACAAGATAACTGTTAGAATAGATAAAATATAATAAGAAATAAAATTGTAAACAAAAAAAAATTGTAAACAACAAATTTTACATTCTAGTTGAAACTAGAATACGGTTAAGAACGTTCCTCATATTAAATGTAATTTCAAAATATTTATGGATGTAATTAAAATATTTTTCTAATTACAAATTGGAAGATATAGATATAGATAATAAGTTTCTAATTACATATTTATAAATATGAATACAACTACCCATAATTTGTTAGTCGTTTCACTTGAAATGTTCGGATATCATTGACAATCATTGTGATTTCCAAGAAAATTACAAAATTTTTGAATAATAATCTATCATGACAAGTGATGCGATTATCGACTAACAGAATTTGAATGATTATATACATAGTTTTATGTACGATATTAAAATTAAAGCTTAGATATGTAAAATAATTTTAATAATTATATGATCCTTTCTGGTAAATCTCTTGCGTACACAAATTAGATGGTATAAAAGATTTTATTCTTATTATTTATAGCGAAAACTACCAGTATTTAATAAGGACATCCAAATTTTTTTCTTCAAGTTGAAATTTTCTTTCATTATATTGAATATTCATATTATTACTTGCCATTATGTTCCTTGCTAAAATTTCAAAACAAAAAAATTTATTATAAATAATGACATTTTTAATTATAAAAATATACTTGTATGGATATTATCATACTCTTCAAAAGGAATTGAAGGAAAAGTGTAAGAAAGTTTTATCCTCAAAACTCATAAATTACATACATACTTACAAAAAAAAAATATTGATTAAACTAATTCAGTTATAAGAGCTAGTCATAATTTTAATTCCTGCAGATATTTATATGGCCAAATATTGAAACTGCAATCTGGAAAATATTGTTCATCTGCCATTAAAGTAAATAAAATTTCAATTACTCTCCAGATTTTCTTAGATTTATAATTACGTACTTTAAATAAATCTTTGTAACCTTTGGTGTTCATCCTTTAAATTTTATTGCAAAATCATCAGCAAGTGGTTTTTAAATTTTATATCATATTATGTGATAACTACTGATAATCACATATTTCAATTTATATTATATTATATGGTATTTTGGAAATTCAAATTCTAAAACTATTTTTGACTGGCCGAACAATTTTTCATTAATTTTTGGCTATTGTATTTAAATCTTTGAATATGATGGTTTTATATGCATATATTTTTCTATGGTCTGTTGGCATTGAGGATCATCATTGAAGAACATACATATATATCATCATTATAGATATATGTATATATGTTTACGATTTGAATATTATAAAAGATTTTATTTTTAGATTAAAAATGAAAATGAAAAATATCTTCTCATTTTGTTTTTTGTTGGTTTTTCTTGAATCGGTTTTTCGTTTTTATTTTTGAATTTTCTTTTTACAGTTTTCTCGATTTTCTTTTTTTTTTTTTGTTATCAATATTTTCTTTACTTAAACAAAAAAAAAAAAAGGAACAAAAATTAAAATAAAATTTCTTAATATGTAAAATATAAATTAAATAAATTTACATAATTATTTCTACATTTGGTGTGTTTTTAAAATATTTTATTTACTTCATTATTTTTTGTTTTTCTTTTTGTAAAATAGTATAAACAAATACTTTAGTTAAAATAATTTTAGTGTACGCTATTTAATATTTAATTTTTTCTCAGAATAGCATCAACCATTAAAATTATTATAAATTTTGGGTAAAATTTGATTAGTTACTTATTTTTTCTTTTTGTTTTAATACTTACAAACTCAGTTTGTATGTGTTTCATTTATATAATTAAAGTAATTATATAATATTATATGTACATATTAAAAATAAAAATTAAAAAAAAAATAAAAATGTCCTTTTCTTTAATTAATTCATATATATATATATTTTGTATATCTTAAAAATGTATGAGAAATTATGATACACACCATATTACTTAAAAATTTTGTTTTTTTTCAATTCAACAAAGTTCTTGATAATAAGTAAATTTTCTATTAAATCATTTGTTCTTGATTTGTTTTTATATATATATGAAATTTTTACGCGATGGGAATGGCAGCATCCGTAAATAAAAATAATTTATTTATACATATATATATATATATTTGAAATATATATTTTTTTTTTACTACTTAACAATTATTTAAATTAATTTCTTTTTATGTTTTTTAATTTTTTTTTTGTTAATTTTTGTCAATAAATTAATTTGAAAATTTAATTTATTTAGTAGATGCTTTTAAGTATGCAATCAAATCGGCACGTTCTGCTGGTTTCTTTAAACCGGCAAAGATCATTTTTGTACCAGGGATATATTTTTTTGGATTTTCCAAATATTCGAATAATGTATCTTCATTCCATGTAATACCCTTAGCTTTATTAGCATCTGTATATGCGAAACCGGCTGCTTGACCTGTTTTACGTCCAAAAAGACCATGTAAATTTGGTCCTACTTTATGTTTACCACCAGCTTCAACGGTATGGCATTGAGCACAACGTTGAACGAAAATTTTTTTACCTTTTTCGACATCACCAGCTGGTACACCCATGTTTTATAATGGTATTTTTTTTTTGCTTCTAATTAAAAAAGAATATGTTATCTAAAATGAAAAAAAAAGAGATTTTAAAAATTAATATTATAGAAAATAAAATATATATGTATGTATGTATGTATATAAAAAAAATAAAGTATTATGCAATATTATTCGAAAATTAAGAATACATAACGCTCGCTTCTTAAGTAAGTAAAGCTATATTTTTTTTTGTTAACCTACACAAGTCTATCTATGTAATATCTTTTGCTATCTTATGGGTATACGTGCAATAGTATACATTAAAAGCTATTTTCTTAATCGTTTCTATATTACTAACACAACTTGGTAATTTTCTTTCAAATATATATATACTTAAAATAATACAAAATGCATTTTTAATTAACTTGAATAAACTTATCATTGAATGTTATCAACTTTGGGCCTTCTATGATAAGAGTTATCAATAATCCAACAATTTCTATTATAGTATATAATATAAAATATATAAATCATTTACATAATAATAATGACATAAAGGTTGACTAAAATATACCCTAAAATGGTAAATTTTATGGTGTTTTTTTCTTTTTTTGAAAGCTTCTTATTAAGTTTTTTGAACTTTGGATTGAATAACCTAAATTGAATTCCAAAATTTCTGTACCAAAAATTTTTAAATATTTAAACTAGATATTGGTATATTAATATATTGTAGGCTAATAGCTTAGCTGTATATACGTAAAAGGAAAAAAAGAGAATCCCCCAAAAAAAAAAAATAATAAAAAGCTTAAAAGAAAAAACCAAACTAAAACCAGTTTTCTGACTCATACAAAAAATGCCATGTGTTAATTTATAAAGTAAATTGTGATTGTGTTAGCGCTTTCGAAAATTACAAAATTTATTCGAAATATTTCTTCACATGGTAACAAAAATAGTGATAAATCTTCATAATTATTTGAATAAAAGTTCAATGTTGTATGACATTGGCGTATGTATGTACTATGTACATACATTATTACAAGTGGAATATGAAATTGTTAAAGAGAACTGAAAAGAATGAAAACAAAAAAACTATAAAAGCTGCTCACGTAAAATTCCACTAAACACACAATTTCTCATTACAAAATATTACGATCACGAGGGTTTTTTTTTTCAAATTTATTATTTTTAAGAATTCTATAGTTCTACTGGCTACATGCGAATAAAAAATTAGAAAAACAAAAAAAATGCACTGTACAAATAAAAAAGCTTTCATGATGTAAATAATTAAGATTATTTGAAAAAAAAAAAAAATTCGAAATGTCTGTCCGTCACTTTTTACAGAATCTGAAGTATGAAGATATAAAAAGTGCAGCTTGCGCATAATTTTTAGGGAAAAATGCAATTTTCTCATTGCATGTAAGCCGAATTTATTAAAAATTATTTGAGGTTTTTAATTTAAAGTTCTGCTATGATTAAAATAATTTAAATTTTAGGCATCAATATTCTTGTTCATAAAGCTATTTGAAATTTAAACACTAGAGTGTAAACAAAATTACCCTAACTTTAATTAATCAGAGCAACACTTGATAAATGTGCGATTTGAAAAGAGAATAAACTTTTTGTTTTAAGAAACAAACTAGTAGGCCAGCTAATTTAGAAAATTTTTTAAAAAAAATTTCTAATATTTTGATCTATTTTTTTTCTAATTATGCAATTAAATAAAAAAAAAATACAAGTGCTAAGTGACTGTATTTCACACTTTTTATTATTAGATAATTGATTAGTTAAGTACTTATGTGTATATGTTCATTTATTTAGCTAAAAATCGTATGTTTATTTAAAAGCTGATAAATAATATTTTTTATATGTTTACGTTTTAGAAGATAAGCACATAGTACCTGCCTATATAACAAATTTTTTTATGTAGAAACCAAATAATAGAGCTTATATTGAATAAATTGATTTTAAATTGAATAAATTTATATAGGGTATGATTTTGAATTGAATCAATGACAAAATATGATACAAATGCTGTTTTAACCTTTAAAGGTCAAGGACAGAAGCATTTGATAGTTGCCAAAATAAATGTTATACAAGTAACTTGTTACGTCAAACTCAATATTGACAAAAAGTTTATTATTATTATTAAAACACACGCTTACAGTCTTGACAAAAAAAAATTGCTTATTAATTGTCCTTTAAAAATTTTTTACCTTATATTTAATCGTCACGAATACACGCTATTTAATAAATAAAAGAATTCAGTATATAAAAAAAGATGAAATTAATTCGTAGCGTAAAATGCGATTAAAAAAGCTCTACGTATAAAATGCATTAAAAAACAAAAAACAAACTGAAAAAAAAAATATTCAGACAGTTAATTGGAAGTTAGCATTGGACTTTGTTTTTCCTATTAGATAAAAATGGAAAAAAACTTGGTAATGAATTTTCCCCAAGTTCAAAAAGAATTTAAAATAAAAAAAAAAATTGTACAAAATAAAATATTTCCGCAAATTATGAAATAAAAAGTGAAAAGAAATTATAAAAAAATTTCAAATTCTAGGTTAAATAATATCATGAAAACTTAAAGAATACCCTTTTGAATAACACAACATGGGCAATATAACATATGTAAACATAAGTGGATACTTCTTTTGGCATGCACATGAAAATTTATTTGTGTACTTCAAGGGCGAAGGTGAAATTAATGTGACAATTTATTTTAGTATTATTGATTGATATAGAATCTTTACTATTTATTGGTATATTCATCATGCATTACTAGACGTGTAGATGATACACCCTGACCTAATTTATAAAAATGAATGAATATAATTTTTTTTTTAAATTTCCATGCAAATTTAATATTATTTCGTATCTTTTTCTTTTCTTAATTTTCAATGTTAAGCACAAGCTTTTTTATTTTTTTGCTTAGGTGTACAAAAAAAAAAAAATTTTTCCCACATTAGTTACGTAATTTTTTCTTTATATGAAAAACTAAATATCACACGTTTAAATCCTTAGAACAGGTAAAAAATCTTGATAATAAAAAATTAATATATAAGTCACATAAATATTTAATTTATCAATCAGATGAATTCATTAATAAAATCCAGTTTTACTCTACTACTTCCATTTAAGATATGGATCAAGCACGTGTTTAAATTAGAAGTTCAGCTGTCATTAACTGAGATAGTAAAGCGTTAAAAAAGAGAGACTTAAAATTAGTATGTACTCAATTTATCCTTTCATTTTCATTAAAATTTATTGTGTCACTTTAATTAATTGCTCATTATTTTAATACATAACAGAAAAAAAAAATTTTATTTTTATGTAATAGTTATTTTTTATATATATATGTATGTAGAAATATTCATTGTTCTTCAAATAAACAAATTATGTAATTTGTTACTTAGTCAATTAAATTTAATTCATTATCACTTTGATTATTATTTGGTGGTGTATTCAAAACTTTCGAATAAGCTTTTCTTTTTTATTAATTTATTTTTGATTTGATATCACTTTAATTTTATTTAATAATATTTTTCCTTGAAATTAAATTTATTTTTTTTTTTTCCTTTTACTTACGAACCTAAAATTTGCCTCTTGCAACCAATGTAGCTCTTCTAGAAACTCACAATTGATTGAAATTCGCAAAAAAAAATTTATACCTACATAGAAGAAAATTTTTGACATTTGAAGAAAAAAATGAATATAATATATTTTTAGCGATGTATGCGACATCTATATTTGTTTAAATGAAAAATATTGAAAGCTTTACATAAAGCATTTTTGAATACGTTCGCAATAGTAAATTATTGTTAAATACTTTTTTTTTGTTTTTAGAAAAATGGAAACAGTGGGAATAGTTTTATCCATTTGGCGATAAAATTGTGTTATTTTAAAAAGATTTTAATGAAGATTTTTACATATATATAAAATATAAATCTTAAATAAAAATCCTTTCTTTTTTTTGACATATAGGTATTAAAATAATTAAAAATTATTTAAAGTGGCACATTTCAATGAAAACATTTACGACTATCTTACGAGACAATGTAGGTTTTTTATAATAAAAATTAGTTAAGTTCCTGAATTTAAAAAACTAAATACAAATATTTATTCAAATGCTATAAAAATGCCTGTTTAAAAGACAAATTTTGAATCAATAGTTGACATAGTGCGCTACATTCCCTTTGCTAAGAAAGCTTTAAGGCAAAAGGAATGACACGTATGTCAAAAAATAATGTGAAATTCATCGAGTAAATCAGCATAAAGTTTGAAAAACTTACTTTAGAAATAAAACTAAAAAATGTTGTTAATCGTTACAATTTGACAATGTGAAATTTGACAATAAAAATATTGAGAATAGTTTCGCATACAAAAATTAATAAATTTTATCGAAGAAACAAACCATTCTGTAATTCAAATTTAATATAATTGTATTCAAAAAATTACCTATAATATTGTATAACACTTTTATAACAGTTAAAATTTCTAATATGAATTTTTTTGTTTTTGTTATTATTTATTAAATATAAGAAAAATAATTTTTTTTTAAAAATCATTCTATCAGCTGACTTGCTGTAGTTTACACATCAAGTAAGAAAAACTAAAAGTATAAAAAAAAAAAATAAAAAAAAATAATTAAAACGGATATATTAAAAACGATACTTTAAAAATTTGAATTGCGTTGCGCATAATCGTTTTCAAAAAAAAAAAATTTGCAAAAGTAAAATATCAAAAAATTTACAAAAAAATAAAAAAAAAAAGAAGTTTCTTTCTTATTAAAAAAGGAAAGGCTATCAAATAAAATTGCACTTTTAATCAAATTCAAATTGAAGTAAAAAGAGAGAAATCTCAACAAAATCTCATATTTTGTGTGTTTGTATTAAAGGTAAATTAATTTTTATTATACAAAATAAGAAACAAAAAAAAATTTCAATCAAAAAAATCTGTTCTATCATAAAATCCAGAAAAAAAAAACAAAAAATTTAACAAAAACAAAAAAAGTTCTCTAATATTCCAAAAAAAAAAATGAATTTGTTGTTCTAATAAGAAATTATTGGGGAAAAAAAATATTATATTTTAATTAAGTGCGTAAAATTTACAAGAAATTAAAAAACTATTTATTAGTAATAAAAGGAAATTATCCTGATAATCAACGATAAAAATAGAAGGATAGAAGCAAAAAAAAAACTCCATAAGGTTTTTATTGTTATACTCTTTTTTTTTCCTCTCAGTAATTTTTGATTTTTATTATTTTTTTTTTTGAATTAAATGCGTAAATTCAAGGACTTTTTCTTTTAATATCCTGTTCTTTCCTCTTGTTCTTTCACAATAAGACCGTTCTTTTATATATTTAAGCACAAAAGGATTATTTCTTATTTATTTTAATTGTATGTGTGTGTTTAGTGTTTTTTTTTTATATTATTTGAAATAAATTTTAAAGGGAAATAAAAAATCAGGTGAGAAAGATATGAAATTATGCAAATAAGAAGTGAAAAAATTAAAAACTGGATTTTTTCATTTACAAAATTTTAAAAATTTTATAATTTCCTCTTTTATTTTTTTTTTTAATTTTGAGATTTCTCAACAATTTATTACATTTTTCTTTGATAAAATTTAAAATTAAATTCACAATAGTTTTTATTCTGTAATAAATTTGTGTATATTAAAAAATAAAAAAATTTAAAGTTAAAATCTTATATACATAAAATATGTAATAAATTCTGTACATAACGGTAAAAATAACATAAAGTCCCAAAAACAAAAAAAAATAAATTTTATTGCAAATTTTAAGTAAATAAATTTAAAGTAATTTATTTTTGCTGTTCTTCAATTTCCGTTTACAAAATTTTAATATTTTACCTATACAGTAGAGCAAAAATACAAAAAAAAAACATTACAACGGAAAAAACAAAATTATTTTCAAGTTCCTTTAAATTACAAAAACATTTCCAAATAAAAATGAATAAATTTGAATAATTTTTGAATCTAAAATCTTGTTTATAAAGATTTTGTTTATTTTTATAAAATTTTAATTTCCATAATAAATTCAAAACATAGCTAGTTTTATGAGAAATTTTTCGAAACAAAATATTAGTCTTTTTTTGTTTTAGAAAACTCGATTGTGAACTATTGGTATAGGAACAATTCCATTTTAAATATGTATTTGAAATTTTAATATTTTATTGTTGATGATAACAATTTCCCGTTGTTTGTTAATTGAATAATTAAAATGTTTTATATAGTTTGGTGTTACCATATAAATTTCATTAATAAAATTAATAAAATTCTACTGACATTATTATTGAAATTTTAGCTGTTATATACCTAAATACCAGTATATGTTATATAACATTATGAAATATAAGACTATGGGAAATTTTATAATACAATTTTTCTATTCCATTTACATTTAATTTAATTTTCAAATATAAATTTTCAAAATTATGAAAAATTATTAATTATGTTTAAATACCTATACATAATTACATATACATAAATAGAATATTAATCACCTACATTTAAAAAATTTTTAAATTTGCAAATTCTCTCATAATATGTTCTTGCAATTTTTTTTTTCTCTTTCTAAACAAAAAAAAGAAAAATACCTACATACAAAATTTATGTAACAAAAAATTTTCTGCTAATGTGTACGTTCGTGTGTGTGTACTTAAATTGATATGTTGTTATATAATATGTGCAAAAAATAAGAAAAAGAGCCGAACAAAATAAAATTGAAATCAGAAAAAAAAAGGAAAAAAGAAATGAATAAATAAAAGAGGGTGTGTGTGGCAAGGATATGTTGTTGTTTTTGTTGTTTTTTATAGTTATTTTCACTTTGTATCTAATATATATGTATATATATATATATATATATATATATATATATATATATATATATATATATATATATATATATATATATATATATATACATTTAAATAGGGAAGGTTAAAATAGAAAGTATAATATAAACTTTTACTTTATAGAGAAAATTTTTAAAATAGTGAAGAGAAAAAAAAAAGAAAATAATCAAGAAAACATTTTTACGTAATCAATTCGCAATTCTTCAGAAATAATAATAAAAACAACAAAGAAAAAAAAATATGAATTTTCTCCATTAATAATATTCCATGTAAAATGCATTTATTTTAAATTTTTCTAATGAATTACCAAATATAACATTTAGGTAGAATAATTTAAGTACATACAAATGAGAAATTCATATTTGCATACATACATAAATGTAGTAGGATATAATTACCGTTATTTATATAATAACACAATTTATAATCCTTTTAATCTCTTCAATGAAATTTTTCCTATTATATACGTGCTTACGTACATTAAATAATCATAAATAAATTTTTATATAAAATTCGCAGTTTTTGGTTTAAATTTTAAATTAATTATTTTATATATATATTATTACCTAATTATTGATATTTGAAATTTTATACAATATTTACATATTAGTTTTAATATATCTATACAAACAAAGATATATATATTATAATTATATTATATTGACAAAATGACCTCTAAATCTAGGTCAAAATGAGTTGATATATATTGATATATATTAAGTAAATGAATTGATATATATAAATATATATATCAGGTTACTGTTATCATTTTTATTATATATATTTAACTATATATACCATATAGTAACATGATATATATATATATATATATATATATATATATATATATATATATATATATATATATATATATATATATATATATCATGTTATGTATATATATATATACATATGATATATACATAACTATTTATATAATTATGCACACACGAAATGTATATATACATTGTAATAATTTATATATCATCTCTTCTATTATGTGCGTATAAGTATACAAAAATAGTATTTATATCGGGAAATCTATACTCTCTATACTTATATTTTATTTTAATATTAAAATAAATTTATATTTGTTGTACAATGTGTAGTTTTTATATAAATAGTTAATAATAATTATAATTAGGATTCGAAACGAGTAGGATACACAATAAAATTATCTCATATATATTATATGTATAACAGTAATAATTGTGTATATATATGCATATATACATATATACGAACATGCATAATAATTACATGTGTTAAAAGGAGGAAAATTATCCTTGTTATTCTGTTCTTTATAATTTTTTTTTATTATTTTCATTTGGAATTTATTTTAAGGTATAGAGAAGAAAAAGGATTTTGTTTTAAATGTTATGTTTGACATTGTATATATAAGCATGCATTTTGTATATGTGCATGTATATACATATATTTTTTTAGTTTCAGCAGATTTTTGAGCGTATACAACATACAAATATAATGAATGATAAAGAAATGAATATTACATAAAAACTTTTTTTTTAACATTGAAAAATTAAGTTTTATATGAAATAGTAAGTTGTGACTGTTATATAACAATTTAATTCTTAAAATTATTATAATTTTATTTTGATTTGCGTATATAGATTTAAAATTAGTTGAGCTTATTATATATGTAAGCGTTTTTGAATATTTAATTTAATATTAATTGTAGCCTTTGAAAATAATTTAATTAACTTTTATACAATTGATATTGTTATATAATTACATAATCTAATAGGCAATTTGATTTTTATGCGTATGTG